CGTTTTAACTGGAGATGACTTGGCAGGTAAGACATTCTTAGCATGTTGAAAATAACAGTATATTCTGAGATTAGAGTCCCAGAGAACGATCAATTCATTATACTGGGCTAGCTTCCCAAAAAAGGTAAGCATGATATTAAGAGGATGGTGAGAATAATCCAAATAAAAATAGTGCAATAAAGTATTAATAAATAGGAAAATTTCATTAGAAACATAGAAAAGAATACTGAACTGATATGTAATATCAATCTATGTCACCTAAACTCTGTTCTGTTAACCATTTATACATGCTCACTAGATAGGTTATACATTGCTTTCATCTGGCCCTCTTGCCTATAATATATCCTGTGAGTCTCAAATTTTCTAAGCCTCCTTTCTTCATTAGCCCTAGAAATTTCAAGTTTCTCTTCCTGATGTGAACTATAAGTGTCCTTTTCTTTTCATTTTCTCTAAAACTTTGCTGTTACTCATATATTTGGTCTATGATATTCTTAGCATCCTTCTGTAGAACCACATTTCTGTTGTTTCAAGTCTCTCTTCTTCATCTTTGAGGAGATGGTCCAGCATTCACTGCCATATAGGAAGACCAACATTACATAACAGTTCAGCACTCATTTCTTTGATTTTCACAAAATGTTTCTGTTTCTTAATACTTTGCTTAGCTTTTGGAATAACCCAATGCACCTTCAGATTTCAGTGTCACACTTTCCATTCTCTGTTAAAACACTTCCCAAATTTTACATATAGTAGTCCTGTCCTATCAGTAACACTTACATTAATTCTTTGACCACTGACAATCTCTTTTCTGTTGATCTTCAATGCATTTCTATGATAAAATCATTAGCAATGAATTTTACAGAAACTGAAGGTCCCCAAAAATTAGAGGCTGCAACTTAATAACATGTAGATCCTCCTTTTATCTGTATAACATGGTGTGACTTCTACAATATAGAATTGTCATCTAGATATATCTACACAGGCATGTTACATCACTGCCCATAACTGAATTGCATTTGTTAGGTTCAGCAAATTTACTGAAGTCAGCAGTTTGTTCACTACATGCCCAATGATAATATTAGCTGTTTCCCTACAAGGAAACACTCAGCATTCATTGACCAAGCAGCAAGTACTGCTGTCAGTTGAAATTTATAGTCTTTATCTTAAAACAATTTTTTCGGAAAATAGGTTTCTCAAGTTCAGTGGCTGTTATCGTTCTTTCTGGTATTGATATGAGTTTCTTTCCTAACATTTTATTTGAAGTAGTGTGGAACATCAACATCTTGATTACGTCGTTTTCTCAATGAGTTACATGTAATATCCATTTTAGCTATTGCTGCTGTTGAAAGTCCTCAAGTGATGTTTTTATTATTTGGTACAGTTCTTTCTGATTCTGTAGTGCCAGTCCCCAAGGTTCAAAGTGTGGTCTTCACAAAGACCCACAGGATTCACTCGCTCAAAGCCATTTTTAACCATTGAGAAGGTTGTTGTATACAACTGACATTTTAGATATTTTGGAGCATGTTTTGCACTATGTATGACATCCATATGAAAGCTTTGATCTGATGAGGTTATTTAAAAACAAGTTTTCTGGTTAAATTTTTGGTTTTGTAGCATTTTGTAGTGTTCAGTGAAACTACCTTTAGTGCAGCCTTTCAATTTCCTTTTCTCTCATACTAAATTTGTTATAACTGATCCATATGCCAAGATATTTGAAGTGTTTAATCTTTACTAATTCCACATGAAATGGAGTTTAAATCTGGTGCATATAGAGACAAATGAGTATTTAGAAATCAGCTGAGTGTTCCAAGAAATAGTGCAGGATGGGAGGGAGTGTATATTTTTTACTGGAACAAACCATTACTGCCAAAAAAATGGCAATTATAAAAGAGTAAAAATGGTATGCAACAAGAGATGTCACTACTGTCAAGAAAGACTCTGGTTTCCAACAGAACACACCTCACAACATTAAAGAGCCATCAACAAACTTGCACAGCATGCTGTTGGCAAACTGGATATTTAACCTCATGAGGTCTACACAAAGCCATTTGGCCAAAAGAGCAGGCAACATGGTGGCAGTCTTACATGTTCTGTGGCATAGGTTGTGCACAGTTACTGATGCAGTGCTGTCAATAATGATAATATGAAGACTTGTGAAATTGAGCGTATGTTATAGGTGGTGTTGACTGAATGATTTATTGGCATCAATAGTGTCAGATTGTTTTGACATCTTCTATCAGATTTGTAATGCTTTGATAATTGTTGTTTTTGATAAGAAATATCAAAATCACTTGACATTGGATTTTAAAGGCTCCAAAATGATACTACCTAATATTCTTCAGGAGTAACATAATGGATATAAGCAGTGATTAAAAGTGTTGCATTTGTTTTGTGGTGTTAAGTTCTTGCCTTGCATCAGAGGGTGAAATCCATATATTCTGATTCTCCAGGAACCAACAAGAATCTATATCACAGAGTTAAAAACACAAAAATTAACTCATATGTATTGCTTATCAGCAAGTATGGACACCTGAAAATAGCCAAAGGGCACATGACTAAAATGCAGAAACAATTACAACACATATAAGAAAGATGGTAATAATCATTTGAATAAATCAATATATAAGCTTAAATCTTGCTTACATATTCTTTTATGCCATGTTACTTTTTAAAAAAAAAATATATATAAAATGCTATGACTTCTTGGAATGATAGTAGAGTGGTTTCTTGTTGTACTCAGTTTTCATTTTCTTAGACTGGTTGCCAACCATGGTTAAAGAGTCCAGTCTGTCCGACTGTTTAACCCATAGGTGGAGGGAGAAGAGATAGATCTATCCCTCTCCCAAGAGCATTTTCACAAAAGAGAGGAAAAATAATTCCAATAAATCAATATATAAGTTTAAATCCTCCTTTCCTATTTTTTTCTATGCACTGTCACTTCAGAATATAAGTGTTTGTGACTTTCTGCAATTTCTTTTTTTTTTTTTAATTATTTGCAGATTGCCATGCATTCTTAAAGAAAGACAAGGGAATGTTCTTCTATTGCCCTCTCCAGGGTTTAGAAGTCAGAGTGGGTGCCAACCATGGCTAGAGAGCAGTTTGCCCTGCTATTTAACCCATAGCTGGAAGTAGAAGAGAAGACACATGCCTTTCCCAAGAGCACTTGTGCAAAAATGAATACAACAGGCAAGTGTAGAAATTGAACATGGCCTGCCAATTCCACTTTCCGTACCAATGTACACTTTACACACATCTGCCCGCATAAAGCAAATGCAAACTCAATCGACATTAAAATATTATTCCTTTTTCCCTCCCACCTCCATCACAACAACCAGAATTTGCTGCCAGTCAGTCGATATAAAATCATTTGAGTGATAAAGAGCCTAGCCCTTTTTTTAACAAGTTTAACCTATATCTTATGTATAATGACAGGTCCTTTAGAATCATTACAAAAGAAATTTTGACTTTTCTATATGAAAGCATTCCATTAACATATATGTAGTCTGTAATTTTCTGTTGCCATTTTCCTGAAGAAATAAGGTTCTCTTTTTCCTCAAGAAGGCTGTACACCCGATGCAGATTGAAGAATGAACTGGTTGAAATGCTGTGTTAACAACATCAATTATATCAAAAGGGAGGTACAATAATTCAATCAAAATGTACAATGTTAATGACTTCACTCAAAGTTGGACACAACTCAAGTTGTTTGCATCACAGGTCAGATCCAATTAATCTTTAATTAATTCTGATTAAGTCATTATTAATTCAATAGACATTACTTCTTGAAGTCAGTGATTCTTAAACAGAAGGCAATTGGACTTCCAGAAGAGGAATTTAAAATCTAATGAATGTTTTTTTTGTTGTTTTTTTTTTTTTAAATTAATTTACCACAAACAAGGCAATAATGCCACTAAGATGCAAGTGGCTACTGAGAGTGAAAGAGAATGGGAACAGGAAACAAGGAATAAACCTCTACACTTGTTCAAAAGATTGGGGAGGATTTTGAACCGGATGATAGATGAAAGTATCTACTCCTATTGAAGGCAAAAAGTAAAACAAATAGCAAATAAAATTTCAGAGTTTAGGCAAAGATGTTAGAAGTATAGAGTTGGAGTAGACTTTAGGAGAAACCAGAAACCCAATCCTAATCAGGAAACAAAGGATAAACCTATACTCCTGTTCAAAATACCAGGGAGGAGTGTGAACCAGATTTCAGCCAAGAGAAGAAATAGGCATTCAATTAAATAGAAGTTTTTTTTTTTCTTTTTTATTTAGTTGCAATAAAACAACTTAGTCTTAAAACATTTTCAATAATCACAATTTGTAAATGCATAATAGAGAATAAATTGCAAGATGACAGTTCATATTGAGGAAAGGAGAGGAAATCTGAGGAGTGGGTGTGGTTTGAATTTAGTTTGGTTAGATTTTGTTTAACAGCGTCTTAACCCTGATAGATTATTTTACGCCAACCAGGTGTATACGTATATTACATAAATACATTTTTATTTTTTCCAATAATTGGAGAGTCTCAGGGATGTGACCTGAGATTATGAGAACCAGGGCTTAGGACAAAGAAATTCCATTTATTTATGATTCATATATCAGTCAGACCTTTAACCATAATATTAATAAAATTCTTGATTTTGGGCCAGTGATTCTGAACCAATGGAAGACACTTGGCACTTAAGGGAGGAATTTCTGGGCAAAAGAGAAGTTTATCCAGGGAATAATTAGGGAGGAATTTCACTCAAATATGTAAATAAATAGTGAAAAAATTACTAGATGACGGTTCAAAATAGGGGAGGAATTGAGGAAAGTTGGGATAGCAAGAGGATTAAAGTGAGTTGGAACTATAAAACCTACTGCTGTAACTAAAAGTTTAGCACTTCCTTATGTTAAGAGAAACTGTCAGTGGGTCCGTGGCATTATTGCAGGAATCATTTACAATAGGTCTACTGTTGAACAAGAATTTATTAAAAAGATAAAGCACATAGGTCATCTACCTTTTTTCGCCTTCATCTAACAAAGCTTTTATTGCTTCTAACTCTACAGCTGGTTCCTTGGTAATCTCATTGGCCTGGTTTTGCTGATCCTGTACTCTTGCACAAAGTTCCTGGTAAAGGTCTTGCAAGTACTTCTCCAAATTGCTGGGGGTGGAAGGAGGAACAGCACCAGTTTGGTTTGATATATTTTCATTCATTTGTAATGCGAAGGCATCTGAGAACTGCAAAAGAACAATCAAATGATAACTGAATTCCTCATAATCCCAAAGCTCTGGGGATATATTCTGCCAAAAGAAATGTCAAAATTATGTAAAGGGGATTAAAAGAAAAGCATCCTATTGTAGAAGTTACAGAAACAAAATAATCCACAAATATAAAATGCAATTTGTATCTCCCTCACTAGATTATGCACAAACACACACACACACACACACACACACACACACACACACACACACATTATTAGCAACTTCCTGTCTATTCTTGATATATAAAATAAATACTTATTTGAATCAATAAGTTTATTTGGTGAATGATGGCAACGTCTATCTGTGTAATTTAGGGTGAAAATCACTTCATTCTCTACAGTTGTAAACAAATGACAGTCATCTGTATTAAATGTTGCAGGCAAACTGTCAATGTCCCCACCAGGTACTTTGGTTAATTGACCCAACACATACATCAACTCCAAGTCCTACTGACTCTCCCCATCCTTCAGGTCACTTTCCTTTCCCACAAAAAGACATTTCACCTTGATCCTCTATATCAGCAATACAAAGAATTTTATCTCAACAATTCTTGTCTTTTTTCTTTTTGCCTCATCAGCAGTACTTTGTTATTTTGTTTGTTTCCTCATATTACCATATGTCTACAACAGCAATAACTCCTCACTATGAAAGAAACAAAAATGATTCATTCACTATTAAGAATGTAGCACAGAAAAACTAATGAACAGAAAAGCAGAATTGAAGGAAAATCTTGTATAATTAATGTAAAAAAAGACAAATTGGAAATACAACTGGGAGATAATCAGAAAACAGTATAACAACAGGACTTCGTTTTCCTGTGTCTCTCCACCAAATATCTAAGCAGTGCAAAAATTGAACTAAAATATCCATTCTACTACCTCTGATGGACTGTTAAACCTATTGCTATTACTCCTGGAGGATTCATTTAAGTCACAAAGATTGATTGATTTGTTTTTTTTTACAGTTTATCAAATGTTTGCAGGTTATTTAAAGCCAGAAAATATTTTTAGATTATCAAAATTTTGGGGAGATAATAATGATTTACTGATACAAGTCCAACTAATTATCCCATAGCTGGGGGAGATGTACAGTCATACCTTTCCAACAGTAATTTGAAAAGTTCAGGATCTTGAGTGGTCCGAGTTTTTACTGCAGTTATTTACTAAGATTGATCAATTTGTGTTTTTTTATGGCTTATCAAACCTTTTGCAGGTTATTTAAAGCCAGAAAATATTTTTTACATTGTAAGAATTTTGTGGGGATAATAATGATTTACTGATACAAGTCCTACTAATTAAAGTTTTCTGATCAGCAAAAAGATAAACTCATCAACTAAATGAGTGGTATTAGTACTATGTAATCCAGTACAACCTGTTGCACAGTCAGGTCATCTATGATTAACTGGTTCTCATACAATGCTATTATGGTAAGGAGCGTGATTAAACACCCAGCAAGATTAAAAGACCTGTCAAAGAGTGAATGAACCTTCTTGTAGGGTTGATAATCATCTAGTACAATGGGTCAGACTGAGCTTCATAGCTATGGATGCAACCAGAGAGGGAATGACAAGGCAGAGGGTTTCCTAGACTGAAGTCAATGGGCAGGTCTGAGGTTCTCTTAATGGAATCAATCACCAAGGTGAACTCTCAGATTGGAGGACATTGACTGTTGTTTGACCTGGAAATGAATACCTATCTGGCTTTCAACCCAGATATTTGGCAGGAGAGGATCAGCAACACTTGTTCATGGGACTGATGATAACAGTGAAATTCATCAAAAAAATGTTAACAAAAATGTTTTATAAAAGAAATGATAAAGTCTTTATATTTTCTGAAAATTAAATAGAGGGACAAAATCGCAAGTGAATTTGATATTGATTTGGCCATATATTAGAAATCATGTGAATAGATATATCTTACATTGGCAAGATTCCCAGTTTCTATTTCTTCTGGTTCTTTGCTTTGTTCATTGACAGAATTTACCTGACTAATATCCTCATCAGCATCACAAATCCAACTGTCTTTGTTATTTAACCTGTAAAGAAAAAAAGAAAAAGTATAGCCAAATTATGCCAACTGTTAAAAAACTATCACATTTATCAGGTGGTCATGAATCACTGTCATTCATATTTTACAGGTATGTTGAATATATATGTATAAAATGGACACTGAAGTCAACTGAGTAGTGACAGTCTGTTTTATGCTTGGCAGCAATCTCCAGGTTTGCAGATTGCATTCAAGCATGAAACAGCCTCTCGTGACTTGTTGAGCTCAGTGTTTACATGTATATACATGCACTATCCCTGATATTGGGTACTTTTACCCATAAATATAGCATATCAACAAATTATTTTTTTATATATATATATATATATATATATATATATATATATATTATTTTATAGGATAAGGAACAAATAGGAAGTATTTACAAATTTAACAGGTTTTGTATTTATTTAAGAGTCATCAGAAATTAAATATGGAAGAGAAAATAAAATTCTGGTATTTTTTATTTTTGTTTTTCATTGGTTAAGTGGACCTAAGGTGCATTTGTATTGTCAGATAGCATTTATGATAAAATTTTTTTTTTTTTTTTTAAATACCAGAATTTTTATTTTCTCCTCCATATTTAAATTCCAATGAAACTTAAAAGCAAAATATTTTGAATGTATAAACATTTCCTACTTGATCTTTACCATTTCATTCTGTCAGATTTGGATTCATATTATATATATAAGTGAACATTGAAGTCAACACTCGGAGGTGATAGACTGTTTCATGTTAAACACAATCGTCAGGCCACATGCATTGTGTTTTTTCTCAACTATTTATATATATGGGTCAGTGATGCATTGTGGGTAGTCTGTTCTAACAGTTATTTTGGTGGGAATGGTTTGTTAATTTTATTTATTATTTACTGTATTTGGACTTAATTTGAGCAAACAATTTTCTATAAGTGTCAGCCCTTCTATCTGGAAGTAAGACATAAACTATCGGAAGTGTGAAATTATTCTGAACATGTACTGTATATAATTGTTCAAATATTTAGAGGTACAGTTTTAAATGTTCCATTCACTTATAAATGTTCACTTGATACAATTATACACAAATTATTTTGAAGTGAAAAAAACGAGCATTCTATCATTGTCAGGGCCTGAATCACAGAGCAAAAATTGCTCCCTTTTATTAGTTTTATCTGTTCATTAATTAAAACAATTTCTCTTCTATGAATGGGATTAGCTAAGCCTGATCTTTCATTTGTCATATATTATGAAGAGTACTTTTCATAGAGCTTACTGCTGGTAAAATTTGCACTACACTTTCACTTAATTGTGAAGCAGCAGTAAAAATTATATAATGAGGAGAATCATGGATTTCTTAAGCATCTTGTTTTACTCTGTTCATAAAACTATGCACTTCAATGTTTATGGCATCACCAGAATGATTATGTTCACAAGAAACTTTAATCACTGCACAGTTCTTAGTGGTTGCGTGGCTTTTATAATACGATGCAAACTATTGAACTTCCAGTATATTTTGGTACTAACTTGTTTATCTTTCAAAAATAGGAAAACATTAATTTTAAGCATGGGCTTTCCTTTTTCACTTTGAATATATTTCGCCATCTTTGAAGGGTATATGTAATCTCATTCCTTTCTGCCGATAATGTCACTTGAATAATTATCATTAGTATAATTGTCCTTTCAATCAATTTTCATTCAAGCAATTTACAATTCAAATAAACATTTATTGAATAATTGTTTTCAAACAATTTTCATGATATGTTTGATATAATATCAAGTGACCTGCCTCAATATCATGTGGATGAGACATTGTCCATCACATATCAAAATTTACACTACCAATCTAATTAAGTAGACATGCAGTTGAACTGGACTGGTGTTTTTCAGTGGTCAAATCAAAATACTTCTGGCACCCTTTGGAATTTAATATTATACAAGATGATCAACTGCACGCAACAAGCATCACTCAAGTATTTTAAAAAAATCAATTTGGATAAATTTTATTTAATATTCTTAATTATTTTCAAGTAATCAAATATGCTTTCCTTCATCTGTCAAGAAAGATATTTTTTGATTGGATGAAATTTTGCAATGTGGAAACAGCATTGAAGAATACAACACATTTTCTTAATTATTAATTTTCAAGAGAATCAAATGAAAAATGTAGAATCAAGAATCTGATAATTTTTTCTAAATACACTGGAAATATACATTAAATTTTACAAAACAACTGGCTGACTGTATTGTCTGCTTTTAAAAGATTCTATAAAATTAAACATTTTTGTCTGTCATTAGTAGCAATTGGTAATATTATCCACAATGGAAGTTTCACGAGTTGTTTTTTTTTTATAAATTTTTTTTTCCGATGTAATTTCAGCTTTGGTTGAATCTGAGCTTCATTTCTAGAAATGTTACAGTTTTGAGAAAAATTAAATTTTAAAGTTCAAATCAGTCTTCAGGAGAATGATTAGCTGTATCTTCTTGTGCTAACATTTTCCACATCATGAAGTGGATTATATTGAATCTATTACTAGGTCTGCTAGTAGGAAAGTTGGTTCACCATGTCATGCTAGACAATTTTTCTCGCCAGAATCTATATTATGCAGTTATTAGTTTACTATCTGTCCATGCATTGAATATTACTGTCACATCTGATCTGGTTCTTTTGCTAAGTAATTAGAGATTGCTGATGAAATCTGAATAATCTACAATGTTATTGGTCCTGACCTGGGATCTCAGCTTCAGTTACTTTCCTAACACCATAACACAGCTACCCTTTGCCTTTTCTATAAATATTTTCATGGTAATTATTTTGATTTTTCCTCTATGGTACTTAGACTTTATGAATTTATGTGCAGCACTAGATTGGCAGCAAGGTTTCATCATTTTACACTTAAAATGACTCAATGTAACCATAAGTTCTATGTTTCTTCTCTTGCACTTCTCACTTGAGGAACTCTTTTGTCTTCTTGCTTTCCAATCAACTTTGATTAGTAAAAATTTAAATGCCATGTCAATTTTTATTTTGTGTATTCTTAATTCCTGTTCTTTTATTGTTCTCTCCCCTTAATAATGTTTTCTTTTTCTCATATTCCCTCACACTCAGTAACCTTTTCTGTCATAGTGGCTTTATTACCTTGCTTATAATGAAATGATTAAAAAAAAAAAAAAAAGAAAAAAGAAGTGCATGAATTTGCTCTGAAGTGGAGTTTTAATTTACAATATACAGTGCTGTTCGATAAAGTGACTCACCTGATTTTTTTTACTAAATGTTCTCTTCACCAATGAAACGAAAGTTGAGCTAAATTCAAAGGATAAACGATCTAAAATCTGAAGAAGAAGCTTTGAAAGCTCTTTGAATTTAGCAGTAAGTACTGTCAAGCATCCGTTCAGTATAATATTCTGGGGATGCTTTTCTTTTCATGGAACTGGTTTCTTAAAACCTATTGAAAAGACCCTCAGGAGCAAGCAGTACAAGAGAATTTTAGAGTCTTGTCTGCTCTCTTCTGCTGAAAGGGTGCAAATCGACCCCACCAAGCTCATTTTTATGCAGGATAATGCTCCCTGTCACAAATCAAAATTGATGAAGGAATACTTTGATGAGAAGCAGGTGAGTGTTATGACATGGCTGCCCCAATCTCCTGACCTCAACCCCATATAAAACTTATGGGGCATTATAAAGTACAGGCTCTCAAGAAAGCAGTTGAGCAACAGAAAGGATTTGATTGTGAATTTCATATCCGAATGAAATTCAATGCTTGGAGATGAGATTTGCCAGAACCTAATAAAGTCAATGCCAAAAAGGGTTGAAAAGGTTATTCAAAATAAAGAAGGACCCATAGATTGTTAAATATTTCAAACTATATTACCTATTATAAATAAATTATACCTCTATTATTCTTTATTTAAAGTTGTTCGATTTTGTTTCTATTGATTACTAATTGCAGGAAATAAGTGAGTCACTTTTTTTGCACAGTTTTTCCCTAAATCTCATTTATATCCAAAATTATAATTATCAATAGAATACCTTAGGGTGAGTAAACTTTTTTACGAGGCGGTCGGGAAGGGGTCTTTATATTAGTAAGATTAAAAATTAGTTTGACCCCCCAAAAAATAGGTGAAAAAATTTTTAAGTAAAAAAAAATCAGGCATACTAAGAGAAGCTTTAGTGACATTAGCAAATGATATCATTCCAAAGTAGAATGGACAAAGAAAAAACAAATGGATCAGTGGTGAGATTCTCAACATGATGCAAAGGAGACAGAAAACTTTGCTAAGATATGAAATGGAATATAGAAAACTACACAATAAAGACCAAATGCAGCAGGCTAAAGAAAAGTGGCTAAATGAAAAATGTACAGAAATACAGAGACTGAGTACCTCAAAGGAGATATGCAACAAATAAATGAACTAACAGGACAGAAGACATGCTTGTCAACAGTTTGCATAAAAACCAAGGATGGAATGCTCATATTAGAGAAGGAAAAAATTCTTCAGCAGTGGAACAAATATATTGGAGAACTATTCAACAATGAAAGAGAACAACCAGCAATACACAGAATTACTGATGGGCCTGAAATTCTAAAAACTGAAGTAGAAGCTGTATTGACCAAATTGAACAGAAACAAGTTGGCAGAATCAGACAGAATTGTAACAGAGATGCTGATAACCTTAGATGATTTGGGCATTAGACAAGATTATGGAAATAATAAATTAAACCTACAACAGTGGGGATATATGAGAAGATCTCAACAGATCTACTTTCATAGCACTTCCTAAAAAACCAGGCACAAATGAATATGAACTCCACCAAACAATCAGCCAAAGGAGTCATATAACAAAACTCATCTTTATTCTGATAAATAGAGCATGCAGCAGAATCAGACCAGAAATAGGACAAGAACATTGTGAGTTTGTCAGAGACACCAGAACAAGGAAGGCAATATTCATGCTCAGAATGTTGTAAGAAAGAGTAATACAAATGCAGAAGAATGTGCACTTGTGTTTTATAGATTATGCAAAGTGTTCAACAAAGTACGCCACAAAGACCTGTTAGAACTGCTCAGCAACTTTGACATATTTAGGGGAAGACATTAGACTAATCAAAAACCTCTACTGGTAGCAAACCGCCTGCATAAAGATAAAAAATGAGTTCAGCAGATATACAAAAATAAAAAGTGGATGTATCTGTATCTTCTCACTGGACTTATTAAACCTATACAGCAAGGCAATTCTGAGAGAACTGGAAATCCTACTAGGATTCATCATTGGCAGCCACAATCTTAACAACATAAGATATGCAGATGACACTGCTGATAGCAGACACAGAAAGGACACTGCAAAATCTCCTACAGAAGGTAGTGAAGGAGAGTGAGAAGGGACTAAGCATAAACTATAAGAAGACAGAATGCATGGTCATCAGTAAAAAGATGAGCCTGAAATGCGATTTACTGGTTGGGGGGCACTAAAATCAAGCAGGTGTGGAAATTTAAATATCTCGGAAGTGTTCTAACAGAGGATGGAAAGTGCAATGTTGAAAACATATTGGCCAAAGATGCATTCTAAAAGCTAGGCAGAGTTACAAGACAGAAGGGTTTTGTTGTTAACAAAAAAAAAAAAGAAAAGAGTACTCAACTGCTACGTGATATCTATCCTCCTTTACTGCATCAATGTTGGATGGTCTCCTCAAAGATGAAGAGACTCGAGGTAACAGAGATATCGTTCTACAGAAGGATGCTATGGATACCAAACATATGAACAATGATGAGGTTTTGGAGAGGATTCAAACAAATAACTTGTACTTAACATTAGGAAAAGGCAGTTGAAATTTCTGGGACACATAATGAGAAAGGAAGACTTGGAAAATCTGATAGTCACAGGGCAGATAGAAGGAAAAAGGAACAAGAGAAAGCAATGTGTGACATACTTAAACGGGCTTAAGAAAGTGGATGGCAGAACAGGATGTGGGAGAAATAACAAAAAGACAAAATTTATTGAGAGCTACAAGGGACGGAAAGAAGTGGAGAGCCATGATCGCCTACGTCTTCAAGGGACACTGCATGTAAAAGAAGACAAATCTCAGACTCATTACAAATGATAATGTGGAAGTTGGATCCATGGAACTTAACAAAACTGTTGGGGAATATCATTCCAATTATTTATATAGAAATGTTAATTCCTTACTACGTCCCACAATTTCCAAAATTCCAACTCCTGCATATAAATTATCTAATTCTAAACCAACTAATCCAGCCATATTTACTAAATAAATATAGTGTTGGTTCCACCAAAGAATTGCTTGATATATTGCATTTTAATAAACCTAACAATGGCATCTACTGATCTTCTTGAAGAATTCCAAATGTATGTGAATTACCAAGATGATTTACCAAATCATTTTAATATCTTGAAATGCAAATAAGAACAGATTTCCTTTTCTGGAAAAGGATTGCCAATAAGGTCATATGGATGCCTGTTACCAGCATAGATGCTGAATGTTCATTTTCTGTTAAAAATTTACTCAATAAAGAGAACACCAAGCAACTCACAATGTTGTATTACAACAGAGATTTAGAGAAGAGATTTGATGATTAGATATTTTGCAAATTAAAAAATTAGCAATTTTAAATTTGAGGAGTATTTCAACTTGGGATAAGTTGTTTTACTTAAATTTTAAATTAATATGTCTAATTTCCTTTTGATATTTTGTTACAAAGATCCAATTATTATGGTTTAATTAATGTTTTGTAAAATTTTAGTCAAAATGTTTGACTTTATTCAGATATTATTGAGATTCAAGTTATTTTCTGTTCATACTTTAAATGTGATTTTTATATTATAAATCAATAATTGTAAATCAATCTAAATCCTTTTACTTAAAAAAAAACAAACAATTTGAATGTGTTTTTAAAGAAGGAAACTGTTTAAAAGTCCTACCTCAAAGATAATTATACACTATAACATTCCATTGTTTTATTGTCTAGTCATGTTACATTTTTTATTTTTACATATAATTTATTTTTGGACATGGATTTTAACATTTAAAAAAAGATTTGTAGATATTCACTATATCTTTATATGCAATAAATCTTTGAATTATATTTTTGTTTTCAGTTTTAATAATAATTATAGCATATTGTATTGCAATTTTCTCATAAAATACTATAAAAATGGAAAAAATGAAATTTCCCCAAAGTAAAAATGGAAAAAATGAAATTTACCAAAAGTAAAAATGGAAAAAATGAAATTTACCAAAAGTGAAAACAGAATCAAGGAAAATTTGAAATGGAAAATCAGGGGCCCTAGGTTAGCGCCTAGATGGGTGATCATTTGGAAACACCTGGTACTCTCAGCTTGGATGTGCGGGGGTGGTGTAATGAATAATGAGCCAGAATTGTTAATCAGAGAGTAGAATTCCAATTCCTGTTGGGTTCATTATATTTACTTATGAACAAATACCCTTGAGAAAGGCATGAATCCTCCTTTTCCCCACAGTTATGGCTTAATTAGTAAGACTTGTATCACTAAACAATTATTATCTAAAAAAAAAAAATTCTTACAAGCTTTTCTGGCTTTAAATAATCTGCAATGGGTTGATAAGTTGTAGAAAATGAATTAATAAATAGAGTCCATTTCTTTGCTGTTCTAGTAATAGTGATGATTTAATCACTTTGATATATAAAAAAAAAGCAAAAAATGTGTCTTTTTAATTATAAAATGTGAGTATACTCAAATATAAAATAGGAAAATAATGCCAAAATAATTTTTTCTATGAACACATTATTTTATAAAGAATTCAGTGACTCAAAACAAACACTTAGCAACAATAATTTCCTAAACAATGTCATTGAAGAAGAAATAAAATTCTCTTTAAAGAAATTTAGAAAAAAATAACATAAGCACAACACTTCATTTGGAAATTGCTTTGAATATTGCTACCACATATAGCCTGGTCCTCCTGCTGTATACTTAGAGATTTTTGATAAAATCCAAAGAAGAATCAACAATATTATTGGTCTTCACCTGGCATCTCAATTTCAGTCACTATTGTCATTTCTCCTTTTCTGTAAATACTTTCATGGTAATTGTTTGGATGAGCGCTTCACTATGGTACCTAGACTTTATGAATTTAAATGCAGTACTAGATTAGCAACACGGTTTCATCAGTTTACAGTTGAATTGGTTAGATGTAACTGTAATTTCTTGAAATTCTTGCTTGTGGAACACTGCTTCAGCTCCATACTTTCCAGCCAACTTTGATCTTCAAAAATGTAAATACAATGTCAATCATTATCTACTGTCTTCCTGATTACTCTTCTATTGTTCTCACTCCTTGATAATATTTCTGTTTTCAAATTTTTTTTATTTTAAAAATAACAAAAAAAATCTAAAAAATTAATAGTCCTTTACATTTTCAGAAAATGTCCATATTTCTTTCTTTTCATTTCTGCATTCTTTTATTGTTTCTATAAGATTTGCTATGTCTATATAAATTGTGCAAACAGATAAGTGTCCTTGTAAAAATATGTCTGGCTGAAATGTTCTTCAGGGTATCTGAGGCGAATGAAGAAAACAGTAACCAGTGAGTAAATTCAAGCTGTCCCAGCTGGTATTTCAACCTTGAGTCGTTCCTTCTTGAGTTCTGTCTCCAAATCACACTAACTGCCCGTTCTTGCCGTCAACCGTGAACATCCCTCGAAGAACTCCCCGACTTGGAAAAAAGTAGTTGCTTTTATAGTTGTTCATATACCCATAATCCCTTGCGTCTTCACGTGATCCCATAATTCATTGCGTCCATGTCCCATAATGCATTGCATCGTTATTGCATAAAAATGCGATGCCAGTCCCCCCTCATTCTTTTACGTTATCTGGCCGAGGATGGATTACGGCAGAGCGGTAAGTGCTTTTTTTTCTCTCCTTCATTTCAACTGCAGTAGCTTTACATGCTAAGCAAATACGGGCTCTTTTTTGGCGGGGACAAGGCAAGTCGCGACCAGTTGTGCTTGTCCCAGGTTCTGTCTCATGTCCGCCACAGTATCACTTTTTGTTTATCCACAATCCTACACTCAACAATAATGCATTGAAGTTAGAAAAAAAAACAAAAAACTAGCAGCTGTGTTAAGAAACTTGAAAGAGGCTTAGTATTGCTTACCAAATATCTGTTGATGACGTGTCTAAGATAACCCAAAACAAAACACTTAGAATTTAAATAGAATTGTAGAATTTAAATGTTATAATTGAATAATAGAAAGGTGATACACCCTACCTGTGCTGCAGTTCTTCATTAGTCTTGGCAATAATACTCAGATGTTTTTCAATCTCTGCCAGCGATTGGCTGCGTTCATCCTCCATACATTGCAGCTTTTGTTTATAAACTTTGATCTCTTCAAGAATGCTGGTATTTAATTGATATTCAGCAGTAAACCTTTGGAGGAAAAGAAATAGAACAAAAATTGTCAGATCACAGCTAAGACAGCTTCAAAATATTAGAAAATCAAACAATGACTTATTTCTTAAAACAATTATCTATTGTTATGACTATCAAGGAACCAACTCTAAATTAGAAATTACTTGGAGCTAATAACAGAATTTCATAGTACATCATTAGAAATGGGATAAAAGTTATATCGATCACATATAACAGGCCTACTCAGTACAAACTTCTTTAATTCCTGACCATAAACAATCTCAGTCTTTCTGATATTCTGTGCTTGAAATTTCATCTACAGCGGCTAATTTATCAGTTATTTGTTTGGTGGTCACTCTAGGGTTATTCTGTGCAATACTCACTTCCCTGCATTCCCACTTTGAAATTGATTGACTGGTGCAACAAAATCCCAAAGAACTGTACCAAATAATAGAAACCACATCATTTAAGGACTTTCAGCAACAACTAAAATGGATAACACGTGTAACTTGAAGAGAAAGTAAGGACATAATAAAAATGTTGACATTCTACACAATTTCAAAGAAAAGATTAGGAAGGAAACCCTCTCAGTACTAGTGTTGATTTCAATCTTCTGGGGGAATGACTGCAAAACATTTCTCCCTCCCCTTTTATAGGCAGAAGTCCACAAATGCATGCTGGGATATTTTTCTTAGTCCAAATCTGTCTTGTCTACTTTTGTTTGTCCAACCTTGCTTTTGTGTGTTGCATATATTGTTTGCTTGATATTATTTAATTTTTATCCTGTTCCTTTCTCTTATTATTGTGAACTTTGTTAATTCTTTTTGATGAACAGTTTGGGATTTATTTTGCATTTGCCCATGGTTACTCACTTCAGAGTGATAATAGTGGATTTGAGAAAACCTATTTCCCTGAAAAACTGTTTCAGTGGAAATATTTTATGAATTCCAATCTAAAGTATCACTGGCTGATCAGTCAATGATAGTCAATTTAAGTTTAAGGAAACAGCTATTTTGGCATTACCATAAAATTTGTGAAAAAAAAAAAAAAAAAAAAAAAACAAGTTTTTGTTAACTCATATTTGTATATTAAAAAAAAAAAAAAAAAAAAAAAAAAAAGAGAATGCGGTTTAGTAGGTGTGTGCAAAAATTTTCAGCATCTTTTTGGTGTGCTCACCAATGATGAAAAGCGGGTTCTGTGTAACACTCCCAAGCGTACCAGACATTGTCACAAGACCACTGATGCAAGATCATGCTCCATATTTGGTAGACTAATCAACAAGTGGTGCACTGTGAGCTACTACCAATGGGCCAAACCATCACTGTGGACCTGTACTTGCAGCAGTTGTAATATGTACATCAGGTACTAAAGCAGAAGGAGCCAGCATTGGTTAATCACAAAGTTGTACTGTTCTTCCATGACAATGCCAGGCCTAATGAAACGCAGGTGGCCAGGGATACCATATGGTGACTTCACTGGGATGCACTGTGCCATCCACCTTACTCCTTAAACCCTGTACCAGCAGATTACCACCTCTTCCATTTCCTAGACAACCACCTTTGTGAGAAATCCTTCATAAATGAAGCAGATTTGCAGCAGGCATTCCCAGGCTCCTTTGTGCCCAAGACACCTGACTTTTAGTGCCAGTGCAATGCATAGCTGGAGGCATTTTTCTAAAATTTTTTGGAAGCTGATGGGAATTACTTAGAGGGCTAACACTATGTCAAATTTGGTATATAATTTTTGTTTTTAATAAATCAGAAACAGCAAGGGCTTTCTTGATTACATTGTATTACTTGAGCATAACAAATTATTATTAGTTAACTCATTCTAAAAAAAAAAAAAAAAAATTGCCATATTTATGTAATTTTTGCAATTGCATAGGTTACATTGCATGAATCATCTAGGCATTTTACTTAAACAATTAACTCCGTTGTTTAATGTAAGAAAGAATTCTATTTCTTAAATCAAAAAAGTCAAAATTTCTAATGAAAGCTAACCCAATCCATACTGTCAGAAAGATTATAGCCATATTTAAGTAATTTTACAATTGCACAGGTTATATTTTCTGCATGAGTAATCTAGGATTTTTATTTATATAATTAATATCATTGTTACATGCAAGAAAGAATTCTGTTTTTTAAATCATTAAAAGCATATAAACAAAAATTAACATGATACAAGTAAAAAAAATATTAAAAAAAATCAATTTAGTGCCTGGTTGCATTGGTTTTACTAATGAAATATTCCATTGTTATAGTAACATGAGGCATTTTTGATATATCAGCATCAAATAATGCCTTCTGTTACTATCACAAAGCAATATCTCATTATTAGAAAAGGGAGATCAGACAGCATGAACAATAAATATATAAATTCACATTGTGCCTTATGTTATAAAATAGATTATTTCTTCTTTGAGTCATTTACTAATGGCAGAATAACAGTCTAAACAAATAGTCAAAAACTAATAATCACATTTCAGCTTTGTTGAAAGTCTGGCATTGAATGTCGAACCAGTTTTGTTACAAAAATATCTTGGATTTGTGGGTAGTAAATTGACAGTAGATATATGATTTTAAATGTATTAGAACAAAAATAGCAAAACCCAGATATGTCAATGAATAAATCATAAACATATTTTTTTCAAATTTAATAAAAATACTTCAAATGTTGCAATGTAATGTCATCTTAAATTCTTATTATTATTGAATGAAACATTTTGAACAGTAGTAGTTTATGCCTTGTTTCCTGTTTAGGATTGGGTTTCTGGTTACTTCTAAAATTTTCTCAATTTGGAAAGCATCTTTTACTATTCCATTGCACCTCTGAATTTCAGTGTTACATTTTCCGTTGTCCATTAAAACACTTCCCAGATAGTTAAATACATGCTTGATTTTGACATCTCCAATTTGTATCTCTTATCCTGGCTGTCCCTCTTACTAACAACAATACCTGATGACTTTTTACATTTGATGGTTAGTCCTATTATTCAACTTCCCTTTACAGTGTTGTCTATGGATTACAGCAGTTTTCTTTCTGTGTCTGCTATCAACATGGTTTCATCGGCATAACTTATGTTATTAAAATTGTGTCCACTAATAAATTACTCATCATATTTGTCTTAGGATTGCTTGGCTGTATAGATTAAAAAATTGGGAAAATGCATCCTTGTTTTATACCATTTTCTATTTTGTATACTTGCTCAATAAATTTTCTACCTGTATGCAGGTGGTTCACTCACAATATATATTCTGGATTATTCTAATATTTTCCCAAATAAAGCAAACTTTTGTAGCTGTTCAAATAGATCATTGAGTCGTATTTCATCATTTGCTTTTGCAACACAGATATATTTTTGTGCATTTGTATTGCTCTCTGATACTATTCTTATATCATATTTATTTTTTATTCTGGTGTCTTTAATGAAACCATACTGTTCTTGTCTTATTCTGGTTTAATTCAGAGTACTCTAACACATTTGTTCCATTTTTTAGGTATTTTCTTTCTCTATTGTGAGCATTTCTTCTTTCAATTTTATGCATCTTGTCAAGGAGTACTTCTTTTGTTTATTTCTTTTATTTTAGCCTGTGGCAACTACAGTGCCCAATCTATCTCCACACATTTTTTTGTACTTCTTATTCCCTCCCTTCTATCTCTTCTTACATAACATTGTTTCCATGTTTCTCTTCTCTCCTGTTTTTTATGATACAACATGGTTTTGCACAAGCCTATTTATATTATTGCAGATTGTCTGTTGTTGAATTAAGTTTAAATTTTCACAATTAATTTTTCCTGTTTGATAGCATCTTTATATTTGGTTGTCAGCCAAGTTTCATGCATCATTTGTATTTGACTAACTGTTTTGGGAATTGTTTGTTCTGCTACGTTTATGAAGTGTAAGCGTTCTCAAAGCAAATTTGTTACTTTCACAACACAAAGAAAGAAATCACTTGTAACGCGTCAGGAAAATAACTCACTCTCCCACGAACGCCGTAACCAAAAATGCCCGAATTTTCCTTCCCCGAGTCGAAAACACCAACTGTTTTTATCGGCAGAACCTATTTTTTCCATTTGTTGACAGCTGGGATAGGATGCTCCGTAATTTGCATATCACTATACTCTTATAGCGACTCCTGCGACGGACTTGTTTCTTTTTTCGTCACAGAATACACGCGATGCGCTGTCGCTTGGGTTGACGAGGTAAGTTGCTGTTTTCTTCGCTATAAGAGTTTTGCTGACTACTTTTTGGTAATCCTTCTTCGGCAGATCGCACACAAAACACAAACTTTTTTCCGGGGTACCTGATTATATCGTTCACTACAGTTTATTAATGTATTGGTGAAAGCTAATATTGGATTAGGTGTCTCCAATATTTGTTGATTAATTTGTGTTTGGCATAGCTTAATATATTTTGGTGAATCTGCTTTATTGAGCTGCCATTTAGGTGTTCTTTCTTCTGCTATTGGTTTTACAATGTCTATGCAAATAGGAAAATGATCACTTCCACGCTGATCATCATAGACTTTCCATTGTAGATCTAGAAATAAAGGAGAGCATATTGCTAAATTTACAACTGATATTGCTCCAGTAGCTGGATGAATGTAGGTATTGGCTTTGTCATTTAGAAGACATAGATTATAATTTTGAATTAGGTTTTCTATAATACATCCATTGGAGTTAGGTTTATTAATGTCCCAGAGTACACTATGGACATTAAAATATCCCAATAGTATAAAGGGGATGGTTAGTTGTTCTATAAGTCTATTTATTTCCACTTGTTTTAAAGCATATTTTGGGATAAGTATATTGAGCATACTGTGACGGATCAATGTATTGTAACCCTAATAGCAGTATCTTGTAGTCTGGTCTCCAGTTTCAGTGCCTAGTGAGGGGGAATGGTATCGAGTTGGCCTATTATTTGCATTAACTGCAGGAGTATTAT